GCCCTGACTCCCCCCCAGACAGACTGGGCACCCGCGGGCAGGACCTGCCAGGGCCCCAGGCCAGGCCGATGCATTGGTGCCCAGGCAAGGAGCAGCCAGCTTTCCTCCTGGTCCCCCTGCCCACCACTCTCACTGCCCCGGTCTCTAGCTGCCTCGAGGGAGGCTCTGATGGGAGCACAGCTCCCTGGCAGCTCGCAGTGCCCAAGCCCAGCCCCTGCTTCCAAGCCTCAGCCAGGAAATGCAACTGCCTCTGGGGTGGAGCTGGTAAGAGATGCAGAGCAGCTCGTGCTCATGGGGGCTGTGGGGTGGGGGATCCCGGCAGCCTCTACAGCCACGGCCGGCCCCAGAGGCCTGGACCAGGTATCTCTGGTGGCATCAAGGCAGAGCCAAGACAGCTGTGTGCCCAGGAAAGGGCACAACCTGGGGGGTGGCGGCACGGGGGTGCCCCCGCGCTCCCCGGCCGTGCTGCTGTCTCCCTGCAGGGCGGTGGGCAGCCCGCTGGTCATGGACCCCAACAGCATCTGCCGCAAGGCACGCCGGCTGGCAGGGAAGCAGGCCGAGCTGTGCCAAACGGAGCCCGAGATCGTGCAGGAGGCGGCGCGCGGTGCCCGGCTGGGCGTGCGAGAGTGCCAGCACCAGTTTCGTTTCCGGCGCTGGAACTGCACCAGCCACAGCAAGTACTTCGGCCGCATCCTGCAGCAGGGTAAGCCCCGGGGCTGGGGGCAGCTGGGCCTGGGCCTGGTGGGGTACGGAGCAGCCGGCCCCCAGGGAGGGAAGGGGGAACTGAGGGTCTGCTTGGGAGCAAGGGAAAGGAGTGGGGTCCTGGAGACAGGGGTGAAGGAGGGAGTGGTTGGGGGCACCATGTTCCTGAGAGCCATCAGTGCACACCAGCATGTGCATGTACTCGTGCAGGTGTGTGCATGCCTGGATGTGTGTGTGCTTGTGTGTTTAGGGGTGCTCATGTCTAGGTGTGTGTGTGTGTTGCTGTGAACATGCATGCGTGTGGACCTGCAGGTGTGTGCTTGGGCAGGCATGTGCCTGCCTGGATGTGTGCATGCATGGGTGTTTGTGGGTGCTGACCTACAGACATATGTATTGCCATGTACTTGCATGTGTGTGTGCACCCACAGATGTGCATTTGGGCAGGCGTGTGCACATCCCTGTATGTGTGTGAGAGTTCGGAAGTGCTCATAAGCCAGCATGTGCATGCGTTTCCGTGTGTATACATACGCATGCACCCAAAGATGTGCATTTGGGCAGGCATGTGCACATCCATGTCTGTGTGTGCATGTTTGCGGGTGCCCACCTACAGGCATGTGTGTGTGTTGCCATGTGCATGCATATGCATGCACCCACAGGTGTGTGCTCCCCGCTATGTGCATGCGTGTGAAAGCACAGGTGGCCATACAGTTAGGCGTGTGCCTCTCCATGTTCACACGTGTAGGGTGCAAGTGTGCCCACACAGACCTGTGCTCAGGTGTGCGTGAGAGCATGGGGGAAGCTGGTGTGATCCCCCGGGCCTGCTGCACGGGGGCGGGGGGGTCACTGCTGGGACATGCCTCCCGCGCGGGAATGGAGCAATTACTGATGCTCCCAGACGACACGGGACTTAATGACGCCCAAGAATGCGCCCACGTCTCGCCGCGATTGATGGCGCCCCAGGGGCTGGGGGGCTGCGAGGGGGGTCCCCTGGTTGCCTGGCCAGCCCGGGTCTGGAGGCCTGGACACGGGGGATCCCTGCCATGGGGGCCAGAGCAGGGCACCAAAAGGAGGTTGGCATCTCTGGGCCTCATACGTGGCTCCCATTCCAGCCCCAATACCACCAGCTCCCCAGCCTGGAGGGCATGGGGCTGGCAGAGCCAAGCTGGGGGTTATCCCAGCCCGGACAGGCCCATCCATCTGGAGACCTGGGCTAACGGCAGGTCCTGAGACCCTCAGCTGTACCCATCCCCTGCGCTGAGGGCATCGTCCCCGGAGAGGTGGGCACAGCTGGCACCAGGCGAGGGGGCTTGCATGGGAGCTGGTCTGTGCCGCAGCCGGGTGCTGCTGAGAGCTGGGCGTCTGTCCAGGGTCATGGGGGCACTGCCCAGAGCTTCAGGCCTCGGGGCAGCTCCAGCTCTGCGCGGTAATGAGCCGGTGGGCAAGCTGGAGTGGGGCAGAGGTGGTACCGGGGGTCAAGGGCGTCCCGCGGGGGAGCTGGGCATGCTCAGCTGGGGGGAAAGGGCTGCAGGGGGACGTGGGAGCAGACGGCAGGGACCTGGGGGCTGCGCGGAGAGGAGTGAGACCAGCTTCTCTCCTGCAGCCAGAGCAGGTGCCCAGAGACAGAGCAGAGGGTGCCCACAAAGGTGCCCGGAGCGGGCAGGGCTCGAGGCCAGGCAGGTTGAGGTTGGATCCGGGGGACACCTCTGCATGGCCCGAGCAGGGAGACGCCAGGGCAGGGGGACGCTGCAGCACAGGAGGGTGCAAGGCGAGGCTGGACGGGCGCTGGGCAGGGGGGTCAAGGTGCAGCGATGCCCATGCTCTGCTGGGGGGTGTCCCAGGCTGGGGCTGTGCTGGCTGCCACCCCCCCGCCCCAGGAGGCAGGGTGTGCCCGGGTGTGCCAATGCTCCCACTGGGACTCAGCCCGGCAGGATCCTGCCTAGAGGGTCTTGCCCCCCACTCACACTGCCTTGGTGGGGGCAGGCAGGGATTTGCCCCCTGCTCAGCCTGGCCCAGCCAGGGGGGGTTTCCCCTCCCTCTGCAGTGGGGCACGGCCTGGGCCTGGGCTCTCCCCAGTGCCCACCAACCCCCCCCGGCGGCAGCAGGACTTGGCGGCCGCATCCCCCGTTTCCCAGGGGCGGGGGCGATGCCCCGGGCTGTGTCAGACACGATTGTGTCATGCAGCTCCGAGGTCGCACACGGGGTTCGTTTGGGGTTGCGGAGGGGGCTGATCCTGCCTCAGGCTGGACGTGACCCCCCAGCTCCCTGCCAGCCCCGCTGCGCTGGGGCTTTATTGTTCTCAGTGACTCCCTGCCCGTGAGACCATGCCAGGGTGAGCTCCTGCTGGGCACCAGGTTTTGGGGATGGAGGAGCTCCCCGGGAGCACCGTGACACTCTTCTTCCCCCCACCTCCTCCAGCTCGCTCCAGTGCTGGGCGAGGCCACAGGAGCCTGGCAGAGCCTGGCAGGCCTGGCGCTGAGCCCTGGGCAGGACAGCACCGGCGTCACGGGGGCTCTGGGGCCTCTGGCGGGGCAGGCAGGGGCTCTGCTGTCCGGGCAGGGGAGATCCCGGAGCTGCCTGGGGTAGGCCAGGGCTTGGACAGTGGGGGTAGGAAGGTCAGCCTGGGGGTCCCAGTCCCCAGAGACATCAGTAAGATCTGGGGGCATCCGGCATCAGGAGGCCTTTGGGGATGGGTGTCCTGGCACCCAGAGGCCAGGGTGACGGGCACACAGCGAAGATGTGGGACTGCCCAGCCGCCTTCCTGGGGCAGCGCCCCCCACGGACCCCACGGTAGCAGAGATGGAGGGTGCTGGGGAGGACCCTGCACCGCCCTGTACCCGCTCATAGCATCTCAGCCACATACGGGGGGCTCCTGGCATAGAGAGCGGGACTCTGTGTGTGCGTGTACATATGCACATGTTTGCATGACTGTGTGTGTAGAACCGTGTGTGTGTGTGTGTGTGCATGCCCATGGGTGGGCATATGCATGCGAGTGCATGTGTGCAAGCATATGTGCACATGCACCCGTGTGCGTGTGAGTGCACAGGTGTCCGCGAGTGGGTGTCTGAGTACGTGCGTGCAGGAGGGCATGTGCACAAGTGTGGGCATGTGCATGAGTGTGTGCCCAGCCATGTGTGTGCATGAGTGGGTATGAATATATGGGTGTGCATGAATGCATATGTTTGCACAGGTGTGCTCATGTACGTGTGTGTATGTGCGAGGGAGTTTGTTCCCAGTCCGGGTCGGTGCGGTGCCTGGCCTCACCCAGAGCCTGCCCAAGCAACTTGTCCAGCTCCCTGCACCATGAGGCCCCGATCCTGCTGGTGCTCCTCCAGCCTGGGGGGCTTGGGGCCAGGCG